AATCGTAATTGGTCGCTGTCTGTACATGGAAGATATATAAGAAAAACTATTATAGGAGGGGGGGGGGATTATGAACGCAATAGAACCCAAAACAATGATTTTAATTAATTTAATTTTTGTATATTTGTCTGTAAGTTTGTGTGAGCTAATCTTAAGAACGGCTTCATCGATTTGAATGCGGTTTTCACTAATAGATTGCACTAAACATTTAGTGTTTGTTTTACTGCAATCGGTTCATAAATAAAAAAAATATATCAATATAAAGAATCACATATAAAATTCTATAAAATAATCGACCAGTTGAATTAACTGAAACTTTATAAAGGTGGGTATACCATATTTTAACTCGCAGGATATTTAATATACCGATTCATGCGAGCAGCGCCGCGGGAAACAGCTAGATCATAATATATCTTAGATTTCCTTGTACAGGATTTGAAGATTCATAAATTACTTAGGGTAAGCTCGTATATTTGTCACTCCAACAGTATTACATGATAAGTAGGTTATCAGTCGTCCCCATTCTAATTAGATTCATGAGAATGCACTGCTTTGTATGTGCTAACAAATTGGGTTTCAGTTTACTTTGAGAAATATTATCTACTGCATAATATTAATATATCTGTAGTGATTTATTTATTTATTTAAACTTTAATGCACAGTAAAATTCTATATACATTTGGCGGACTTAACACCAGGCGGTGTTCTCTACCAGTCAACCATTGGGCAAACCGAGAAATACGTAGGCGGTGCATTTTTGAATAGAGAAAAAAAAGTAAAGCAACATTTGATAAATTCATACACAACAACATACACATAATATATTAAATAAATAAATATATAGATATATAAATAAAGACATAAAATATTACTATGTAAAATAATTAAATAAAACAACTGCAATAGAAGAGCAAATAGTAATATATGACTCAAAGAGAGTAACCAGCAGGAGAAGCTTAAAGGGAAAGTGATTTTTCTTTATGTACTCGTGTTTGTAGAAAGTTTTTTTTTTTTTATACAACTTAGAATGGCAAACAAACTGACGGCCCACCTGATGGAAAGTGGTAACCGTCGCCTATAGACATGAGCAGTACCATGGACATAACAGAGTATACTGTTTCGCCCATGATACCCTCCATGCGTTGCCATTCCTAATGACTCAGGTGTTATTCCTCTGTACCCTGTAAATTCACTGCCATATCCCGCGCTTCAAACCGAAACACAGCCATGCAAACACAACTGCTTCACGGTAGAAACACGAATGGGACAGAGGTACCCAAGCAATCGACTTTTGTACAAAGTCTTCATCTGGTAATCCACCTGTAGTGTATGTTTATGTATAATGTATATTTTTATTATTCCCTAGTCATTCACGGTGTTACCTGCATATGTATGCGATCTATTTGAATTAAAATGTATTTCATATGTTGAGCGTGATTCAATAAAAAAAATATAAACATAAAGAAGTCTGAATATCAAAATTCTTTACAAATATTTTAAGAACACTGTCGGAACTTAACGCGATGAAAAATTTCTGCAAAGAAGCAGGTAAATAGTACACATACCTGCTTCTTTATTGTCGACGTTTCGACGTAGATTGTACCATGTTGAAAATTTTGCATCGCTTTAAGTCCCGATATTGTATTTAAAGTATGTGTAAACAACGCGAAAGTTTAAAATTAACTATCTTTACAAACTTTATTATTTAGTATGATATTAATAGGATTGTTACAATTAATATTTTAGCCGACGGACAAAATAGTAATATTTTATGAGCAGCTAAGTAATTTTATTTCGATTTTTTTTTTTTGTAAATAGTTAATATTATATGCGTACCTAGAAATTAAAATCGATTATTTTTTGAAACTCAAATATTTTTGTTATTTATTAATTTGAATTAAACAAAAAATATCCGGTACGAAGGATCGTAGTCTAAACCACAAGGTGCCTACACTACTACCCCAATAATGTGAGACTAATAAATCTTAAGCGGGTACAAGAAGGACGTACAAAAGAAGGGGCCAATAATAAGCTACTACGCGGTATCGTAGCCCGTAGCTTCGTAAACGTAGACATAGGAAATAAGCTCTATTTAAGCAAATAAGGATATCCTTGTTTCTTTTATGAATGAATGATAATAATGATATAATTCATTCATTGAAAAAACAGTCATAGCTTTAATAAAATTACAAATTAAGATTTTGCTTCCTTAAAGAAAAAAACTTCTGTCGTGATAAAATTGATATTATATGTTACGTCTAAAAGGAATTATCCAAATTGGTTTAAAATTGGGAATAAAATACAATAATAGAAGGTAACAAGAAATATATACTGAAAATAATTTACGACAATTTATTGCAAGGAGTCAGTGGATTTTTTTTTTTTTTTTTTACAACACAGGGGGCAAACGAGCATGCGGCTCACCTGATGGTAAGTGACTACCGCCGCCCATAATCACCCACAACACCTACGGCATTGCAGGTGTGCTGCCGGCCTTTTAAAAAGGAATATGCTCTTTTCTTGAAGGTTATGTTGTCGTATCGGTTCGGAAATACTGCTGCTGGAAGTTGATTCCAAAGAGTGGTTGTGCGTGGGAGAAAGTGCCTTGAAAAACGCACGGTGGAGGACCGCCACTCGTCCAGATGGTTGGGATGAAATTTTAGTTTATGGCGGGTTGTACGATGGTGAAAATCAGCAGCAGGTATCAATCCGAACAATTCTTCAGAGCACTCCCCATGATAAATTCGGTAGAAGATGCACAGAGATGCAACATCTCTACGCAGTTTCAGTGGGTCGAGCCGGACAGTAAGACGCCGATCGTCAACAATTCGAGCTGCCCGACTTTGAATGCGGTCTAATGGAAGGAGTTGGTACTGTGGCGCTCCTGCCCACAGGTGAGAACAGTATTCCATGTGTGGCCTCACTTGAGCTTTATACAGTTTAAGGCGGTTTTCTGGCGTGAAATACCGTCTCACCCTATTGAGCACCCCCAACTTTTTGGAAGCTATCTTAGCTTTTTCCTTCAGATGACCGCAAAACTGGACGTCGCTAGATATATCGACGCCAAGAATCCAAGTGGATGCAGGTGACTCAGGGTCGTTTCTTATAGCAGTCTATGGGGTAGGCTTATGTCCAACAGTGGACAGACAATGGTTGAAATGATGACGATGATGATAATTCACTAGGTAGGTGATAAATTTTATTGCTATGTTTTACCTGCATCTACATCCGCATGACTGGAATATGTTTAATGACCGAGATAAAAAGTAGCCTATATCCTGCTCTATCCCATATAGTACGTGTACACCAAATTTCATAATGATTGGTTTTTTTTTAAGGTTAACAAACAGTAATACAATATACAATTATAATAAGATTACATTTAAATGTCATTAATAGTACTACCAACAACGTTAACTACAGATTGCTATATAAAGAAAGAATGTATATAAACATGCAAATATTGCCGAGAAGTGGATCTGACCATTATATCTATTAATTAAGTTAAATTATAAATAACATTGACACAATCACATCACTGGAAAATTGGTTAAGCTACTAAGCCTTTATAAGGTAACAAATAAACAAACTCAACTTTCACATTCATAATATTAGTAAGGATCATAAATTTACAGTTACATGCATGAAAAGTATATAGTATTCTATTTAAATACTGCAATATTATTATAACGACTTCTGTGGTGCAACAATAAATATATTACTGTGTGTGAGGTCCCAGGTTCGGTTTTCGATCGAACCAATTTAAATACCTGGAACGAGGCGTTCTAGGTTTATGTATCCATATTTTTGTTGTTTTATTTCTTATATAACAGGATATCCTATCTTGAGGGTCACTCAATTGCTGTAATTATATGGCCATTATATTCTTAACTTTAGAGATATAATTATTGGATTCTTTATTACGATTCTAAACTAATTTTAGAGGTAGATATTTTTTATTTCTCAAAAATGCCGACTATCGAAATTATTAATTTATTAATTAAAAGTAAATAAAAGCGTTCATTACAAAAATGTAAATAATATATAAGTAATAAAATTATTTACTTGTCTCTCCGTAAACACATTCCGCATAAACTAGTAGACTCTTTGATTAAATTTGGTACACAAACGAGCAATCTCTTTTATACCTGGAATTAGCGTAGAAAGCGGTGTTAATTTAATAACTAGACATGTAGTTTATTACAGATCTAAGCCGCCCAATACTAATATAATTTAATATGTACAGTCTTTATTAATGTAGGTCCAATTAATTTAAATACGATTTAGTAGCTATATTTCGCAGCTTTAGTCTTGTAAATTACGATAAAAAATATACTATGAACTAATGTAAGATGCATGAATTATTCGTTTATGTATACTGACTTTATTTCATTGTAATACGTTAAAATATTTTTTATTTAGACATTATATACACATAAACTTATTAGTAAAGTAAATAGCATTCTCAAAGGAAATTCGATTTAACGAGCAAAATAATTTGTAAACCTAACTCAATCCCCAGGTACCTACCTACTTACAATAAGTATAAAATGATAAGTGGTGAAAGTTGCCTAAATTATCCCTTTCTCCTATCGAATTATTGTTACTAAACAAACATTAACCACTGTTATAATAATTTATGTATTATTTTTTGCTTTGTGATAAGGTACTTCAGAGGTTACATGTAAAAACAATACAATGAAATATATTCTTAAAGTGCATGTTAATATTAAAAAATTCGAGATTATTTTAATTTTGTATTTTTAATGTTTAGTTTAATACAAAGTTTTTCTAAATACCACTTGTTTCTATTAGGATCGCAGAATAGTTTCTGCTTACTATTGTTTACAAGTATAAATACAAATAGTTAAAATATAAACCTCGTAGGGTTTAAAGTAAGAAGGGACAGCAGCATCAATAAAAGTGTTATCTATCTCCGCCCATGACGATTTTCAGTCACGTTATCTACCTGAAATTGGCACTGTAACGTTTGAACTCACCGTATCAGCAATGACTACATTATACACTCAATATCCGTACAGCGCACAAAGTTTAATTAAAAACACAGTCTAAATATGCCCCTGTGAAGCGGGGAGGATCGTTAAACCAGCGTTTTCATCAATTTTTCATTAAGGTCCCGACAAAACACGCCTGTAACGTGTTGACGCGTACTGCGGCCGCAATGAATACGTCCATACGCCACGAGCTCACGGGCAAAACTAGGAGTAGGAGCTCAAAAGTGCTACAATCCCGAATCGGGACGGAAAAAGATGGGTATATTTGCACAAGCGGGATGGATGAGGATGCAGAGGTGCGCAGGAAAGAATTAGATGTTTATTTGGGCTACGTGTAATGGGATAACAGAAGCTGTGCGTGCTAGCTTTTTCTAGTTTCAAGTATCGAGTTGATTAGTGGAAGCATCGAACTTTTACCACTTATGTTATCCTGGTAATTTTGTTGCTCATTTGCGGAACAAAATTGATGGGAAGCAAAAAAGGTTTTTTACTAAAAGAATAATAGAAAAAACTATTTCTATTATGCTAGACTGTTATTATATGTATATATATTTACTGATTGTAAAACTTATACCATCACTTAGTAAAGACTTAATAAATTTATTATTAGCACGAAAGGAAAAGTAATGTTTAAGAATTACGCTGCTATTCGAAACATCTTTATTTCTTACTAATAATAATAAAAAATACAAGTTATTGGAGATTCATAATAATATATAATTATAATAAAATACAAATTACTTCACATTATAAGAGAAAAACTATTTGTTTGCCTACTCGTTTAATTAATTCATAATAATGTGAATTAATTAAACATGCAATATAATATACGAAACAATAGTAATAAAAACTCATAGTGGCTGGTCAGATGGAGAGAAAAATAAAATGATCCAAAGTGTTAGAGCGAAAAGGGACTGTTAATAATAGGAATCTAACGACCTCTTTGCTTGCAATTCTATCAGGCCCTATCAGGTCAACTTCCACGTGATTCCCCCTAGAAACCATTTTAGATAATTCTTTATGTCACTGTGGCTCCACTGGCCTGCTTTCATCCTCATCCATCATCTTTCACTGATGTTAACAGATAGCGCAAGCGTGGCTATTCCATTATCACCCATTTAAAAAATTCAAGGCATTGGGTGATCCAAGACAAGTAGAAGATTTGATGATACCAATAAATACAGCCATTCATTTTAGCATAAGATCATGGATTAGCAAATGGAAGAACACTGCGTCAAGATTACATAGAAATCATAATCCTCAAGAATAAAGGAGCGAATATAAAGAGAGATAATGGTCATGATAAGGTTTATTATGCCTTTATTATATTCAAATGAAGCGATACAGAAATCGAGATGGTGGATCTATCAAAAATTCCTTCCCTAATTATCGTACTCGTAGCAATTTATGAGGCGTTCATTTTGTTATTAATGGGAATGCGACCGAAACAGGAATTAATAAAGTGATTCTGTAGCAAACGATAAATTTGACAAATTCAATAAAAGAAATTCAATTTTAATACAAAGGATACGAGCCGAATGGAATTCATCTGCCAAAACCAGCGTTAATATAATGGGCAGTAAATTAACTCTGCCCGAAAATCACCAGGGTGGAATGCATAAAATAAATAGACCAAGGGACTGGGGACATCCGTTTTATGCCATTGAACGTAACGTTCATCGAGCGATTACGAGCAGCGTAAATTTTTACGAGTTTACTGTACACTAAATGTGTAGTTAACATTTGTTTTGTTTTATTTTGTTACACTGCGAGTTTTAGGTCAAGTTAAATCTAGACTCTAACCCATTACCAACGCTATCCGCTGTAGAAACTGTACAGCGTTTAAAACAATGATAAATGGCATTAACGCAGACTGAATCAAAACTGTTACTAAAATATCGCCAGATGAATACTAATCTAGTTTCTTGTTTTAGAAATGTACGTCTGAAATTCAAGGACTAACTTGCTTTACATAAGTACTATATTTACTAACATTTATCTGTTTTTCTTTAAGATAACTCAGTGGAAAATTTTAAAAATATAAACACTAAGACTTCAGTTCTCGTTGCGAATATAATATTCTTCTGATCTAAATCTAACGTAAAAATATTTTACGTTACTTTTTTCAACCGACCACAAAAAAGTGGAGTTTTACAATTTGCGACTCTATTTTTTTATGTAATACGAGAACTTAACAAATTTTGAACTGATTGTGATGTTTATTTTTCATATAAAAGTATATACTAATTTCATTCAATTTTAACTAAATTTATTTTTTTGGAAGAAAATTTTATTTTTTTTATTGTGGAATTGCGAAAAAGCTAAAAGCGTACCTGATAATTGGATTCGAAAAAAATTGCCACAATTCCTATCTCCTGTACTATTGGTGGGTACTTGATAAATATTGATAGGGGCCGATGGAGACTATAAAAATTATGAATAATACATGTTCACACTTGCCCATATAGTGAGGCAAGGGTTAGACATTTGTGATATAAATATCTCAAATTCGTTAGAATGTTTCATGAGAACTTACATCACACATCATCGGTTATGAACTGTATTCTGTATATATTTTCTAATAAATTAATATTTCTTTGAAAAGAGGTACAAATTTGTTTTACATTGTGCGTCTGGTCACTAAAGGGAGATTTTCTACAAAAGTCATTTGCTTGGGTACCTCTGCCCTATTCGTGTTTCAATCGCAAAGCAGTTATTTGCATGGCTGTGTTTCGGTTTGAAGGATGGGATATGGCAGTGAATTTACAGGGTACAGAGGAATAACACCTGAGTCCTCAGGAATGGCAACGCATGGGAGGTATCATGGGCGAAATAATATATTCTGTTATGTCCATGGTTACCACTTTTAATCAGGTGGGCCGTCAGTTTGTTTACCATACTAAGTTGCATAAAAAAAGAAGAAAGGTAAGAAACAAAATTACTGTATAAGTTTATAATAAAATTGTATTGATAGTTTAATACCTAAGGTTAATAACAGATGGCGCTGTCAAGAAGTTACATGACGCTATAGTTTTATTTATTATGTATGCTAGACAGGTGTATTATAATTGATCAAAAGTACTCTGTCATGTACAACGATCACACATCACTTTTTTTTTAATTTGAACGCCAGAGGACGTTCGTCCATAGTTCAGTTCTGGATTGTGTGTACGATTACATTATCCACTTACATATCCCTAAAATGAGAAACTACATATTCACATAAGAGAAACCTTGAGAAACTAATTGCAAAATGAGATATTCATTGTTATTAACTTTGCCAAACGTCCTGCCAAAATCCTCCTCCGAAATCATAATGCTTATTACACGTTCATTTGCGCCTTAAATTAATTATGGCGGGTACGTTTTGTGCATATATACACGAGTTTCGCAAAGCTATCGTCGTAGTAATTGTCTAGAGCTGTTGTACTCAAAGTGTGTACAGCTAAACTTTGGGACTCTGTAATGTCATTGCTACATAGTAATAACAAATATAGTTAAAAAAAAAAGAGATAGATGCTCTTTATTGTTTCCTCCATAAGATTACAATAGTTAACTTATCATAGATACAAACAATTACAAGAAATGTTCACAGTGAGAAAGTAATAGGCGGCCTTATCGATAAAAGCGATCTCTTCCAGGCAACCTTTGGATGGAGAGGAGTAGTTATAAACAGTGTTATCGGAAGCATGATGAAAATTTTATCACTTTAAATACATATAGAGACTAAGTAATTATTAGTATTTCAACTTTTTTTTATCGCATAATTTAAAAATGTTTTGAAATATTTTCAACACAGTTTGCAAACTGCTTGAACCAAGTTGAGTGTACACCTGGCTGAATCTCAGTCTAGTTAAAAAACAATGGTATGCATTGTTTTTTCATAATCTTATTAATTATATTTCTAATTTTATCGATTATACCCCAGGTTGGTAACCTGTTGTGTATACCTAATAGAATAAAACCAAATAAAAAGCAAAAAGAATCCATAATCATCCGATTCACCATCAAAAGGGGGTCCGTTGCCAAAAATTTTGAGATTCGCTGGTCTAGAGTTTCTCACGTCCTAAGGGGAGCGAAACGCCGCGTCTCTTTTATAATAATTTGATTTGCTTTACTTTCTTTTGCGTTGGTACGACTAAGTTATAGTAATTGACTTCTTACAGAAACATCGAGAGCCTATTTTAAGGAAGTCTCTTTAATTATTATCTTTGATGCTTATTTATTAAATAACTAAACAGGAAAAATATAATGAGATGTATATTTACTTTCTATTGACGAAAAATAATTTTTTTAATTAGCAAATTTTGTTTTATAAACAATCATACGGGCAGCCTAAAGGTAAGCGGTTACCGTAGTCTGTGAACGCCTGTAATAGCTAGGGTATTACGCGCACGTTGAGAATACCTTTTTACCCCATGAAGAACCCCATGCTATAGTCTTGAAAAAACCTCAACAAAGAACTCATTTCATAACCTAAGCGTTCGTAATATTCTATACGAGACCATCTAGGCTCTAAGGTATGGCGGTGAACTCGCTGTTGACGCCAAATTGGATGTTGGTAGAATTTAAACGCTCTTTATGTATTTAATCTCATGTAAATAATATAAGTATGTATTTATTCTAGCTTCAAGTAGGCATACATTTCAACTTATCCCAACGGAATAGGGAACAAACTCCTGTATATGTAATGAATGATAAATCATCTCGGTTTCCCCAGCTATACATCACACCCAATTGGATTTACTTAACATAGTATTACCTATGTATGTATGAATACAAAATTCCTCAACAAGATTGATGCCTCTTAATATATTATTAGGTACTTTAAAACAATACAGGGCTTAGACATGGGGATAGTTACCATTTCCAATTACATTTAAGCTTAATAAGTGTAATATATTTACTTGGAAGGAAGGGATTGTTAGTAATGCGTACTACCAGTTTCATTGCTAGCAATATACTCTATCAGGTCGACCTCCATGTGTTCGCCCCTGGAAACCATCGTGCTGAATTCGAGGTGCATTTTCCACCTTCTCATTCTCACCCCTCATGCCTCTTTATTTCAAGAGTAACACCACAGTTTTTATTTTAGACCTCCAAGAATACACGCGTGAAAACCGCATCCATTGATGGCTGAATATACAGATAGACAGATAAAATTTCTAAAAATTATTGTTTTGGTTTCTATTA